ACAAGAGTCTCTGCTAAAGAGGATAGCCTGCAAAAGCTGGCACAGGATTTGGAAAGTATGGCACACAAAGCCTGCCCAACTGCACCACCAGCTGTTGCTGAAGGATCAGTTTGTAGACGCCTTGGACAGTCCACAACTGAAGATACAAGTAAAGCAAGCACACCTCTCTACTATACAAGATGCAATGGCCAGAGCTCTTGAATTCGAATCCTACGTTAAGTCCAGCACAGAGGTACCAAGGTTTGTACAGTCATCGGGATTCAAGGCCAGAAAAGGGCAGCTTTCAGAGACGTTTGAGAGACTTTGCTGGCACTGTAACAAACCTGGGCACAAGAGAGCTCAATGCCGGCAACTTCAACACAGGGAAGATGCCATGGCAGGAAAGGCTGCTACCCAGAGACATTATTGGAACTGTGGAGAGCAAGGACATATGAAGAGCCAGTGTAAGAAGAATATTACCAACAAGTCAGCCTCAAGGAGACCAGTAGTGGTTGGTGTTGAGGGACACTCACCAACCCCCATCATGAAAGTCCCAACACCTAGGTGTAAAATGCCAAGCACACACAGTGTCTATGTGACAGGAAAGCTGGATGGCCAAAGATGCAACTTTGTCATAGATTCTGCATCTCAGCAAACCCTTGTGTGTGTGTCAAGGTGCTGAATCCCAAAGAGTATCAGAAGCCATACAGAAGCTCTGTGGTGTGACAGAACATTATGCAAGGTTGTGGGGACCAGTGTGTGTAACTATTGAGCTCATGAGCATGAAGAACAGACACAAAGTATACTTGGCTGACATTGATGATATAGTCGTATGTCGCGACACATTGAAAAACAATTTACTTTAATAGAACACCATCCACCTTTGTAAAATATGAGATAAAACTATAAAAATATATTGTGTAAAATGAAATATTTTGTCTTGCTTATTAAATAATCGCCGAAAATCTTTGAAATAATCACTTGATTTATATTTAAAAAGTCAAACAGTAAATTTTAATTATTCCATGATATCATTGTCCATGATATTAGGACAACTTAAATATAAGTTGTCGGGAAATGTATGGAATTAATAAGTTAGTGTTAAGCGTCCTTTTTCATGACATTTAAATGGTTAGTAAATGTATAGAACTAATAAATTAGTGACAAGCATCATTTTTAGGACATATAAATGGTACAGAAATGTATAGAACTAATGAATTAGTGTTAAGCATCCTTTTTAGGATGATTTAAGTATAAATGATCAGTAAATTTAATTAACTAATAAGTTAGTGATTTGAACCAATTCTATTAAATATTGAAACGTTCTCTATTTTCGTAGAACTATTATGTCATAGCCGTCTGTCTGGTATCAAACTATAATTTCAACCCTCTCTCTAGATAGCTGCTCCCTCTGCTGACATTTTGTGGAACTATGACGTCATGGCCACTTGTCTATGACAAAGTGTTCCCTGGTGACAATTTGTGAAACGATGACGTCATAGCCTTTGATGACATCATCCTACTCCCCTTCCGTCCCAGAGTCCGACACACGTGTGGCGCCCTCTAGCGGCATGTCGCGCGGGTACAGCCCTAACTACTAATGTCATACCCAGAACAAGCATTAGACCTAAAAATTAATTTTTCTTAACTATTTCAATAAGTTCAATGTATCTGTAATTAATTAATATTACCGACTTTGTTTATCAAGCATATTTTATTTTAGCTTTAATTGGAATGCTACCTTACATTACAAAGAGAATAATAATGAACAATCGATAAGAGTAGAGCTAATATTCAATCAACATAATGTATAATAGGATATGTCGGTATGTAAAATAATATCAACTATATATTCTATATTTACTATCGTGAAAGGTATTTTATTCATTTACTTTCGAAACAATTATTTATTCAAATTTTCAGTATAGTAACAGAAAATATGTTGTTTGCATTTGATTCAATACTTTTTATTTCTACTAACTATGATAGTAAAGATAGTAGGTATTAACTATTTATTATATTTTATTACATAGTTATCCGCTTTTTTTAAAGATGAACAAACTGAAAACAAGAGAAACTGAGTTGGTTTTTATTTTGAAAGTGCCTATGATACTGTACAGCAGATGTTTGTAGTTCAAAAAGCAAATAAACTCGTTAAAGTGTTGTAGTTCAAACAGAGACAATTTAAAAAAAGAAAACACTACCTCTCTTACACGTTGTTAATTCAATAACTCCACCGTTCAAGCAGCTTTGGTTATTCGAGCAGAAGCATTGGTTGTCTGGATTTGCGACTGGGGCAGCATAGAACTGGGCAGGAATTGTAAAGCGGTTGGTTTTTATACCTTTAATGTTAACTTCTTTTTCATACTCAAAGTTCAAGGACCTGAAAAAAATATACCGTAAAGCAATACCGTTACAATCAATTGTGTAAAATTAAACTAAGGTTTTCATGTTCATCCATAAACACATTTTCTATAATTAGAGGTTGTCAGCTGTATCGTTCTCACCTTGAGGGTTTGAGCTATTTTTATTCTGACAGTGTTGTTTGCTACTTTCTTTAGACATGTTCTCCATAACTACTTTTATCAGAAGTTACCAGCTCTACCGTTCTCACCTTGAGGGTTTAAGCTACTTTTATTCTGACAAACAGTGTTGTTTGCTATTTCTTTAGACATGTTCTCCATAACTACTTTTATCAGAAGTTACCAGCTCTACCGTTCTCACCGTGAGGGTTTAAGCTACTTTTATTCTGACAAACAGTGTTGTTTGCTACTTTCTTTAGACATGTTCTCCATAACTAGTTTTATCAGAAGTTATCGGCTGTACCGTTCTCACCTTGAGGGTTTAAGCTACTTTTATTCTGACAAACAGTGTTTCCTAATTTCGCTAGATGGGGAAATTCCTGGGTCACTTATGATAGCTATTGGTTAATACGGTACAAAGTGACTACCTTATATGATAACGAATTGATACTATTTCAAATGAAAGAATGTGATTACCTTTCATGTGAGTATTATCGATTATACTTCTTCTGTATCACATAATTTAATACTTAAAATTGTGTATTATTTTTAAAATTACAGTTACTTCAACTTCATGCTTCAGCGCAGTGGCTGCTTATAAAATGGTGTGCTATCAGAATAATTATTCCGAGTGTAACTCCTAGGAATCATAAGTTACTTTTAATCAAATCACAATTTTTGGCGAGTAACGAAAAATATCGTGAATTTGATGGGTGTAACTCCTACGAGTCATGAGTTACCATTAATTACATTATAATGTTTGGTGAGTAACGAACAATATCGTGAATTTGATGGGTGTAACTCCTACGAGTCATGAGTTACCATTAAGTACATTATAATGTTTGGTGAGTAACGAACAATATCGTGAATTTGATGGGTACTTGTTTACAGTTAAGCACAATGTTATACAATGGGTTATGTGTGCTATGCCCATCACGGGTATCGAAACCCGGTTTCTAGTGTTGTAAGTCCACAGAAATACCGCTATGTCACTGGGGAGTATTTTTGATGGGTGTGACTCCTACGAGTCATGAGTTACTTTAAAGTGTATTATAATATTTGGTAACTAACAATGCTGTGAGCAGCTCGTAAGTATGTCAGAAATGTATATTAATGCTTAGAATATCTCCCACTGATTACGTGCGACTTACGAGTAGAATATATTTCACCTCGCGAGTAATTGTAAAAGTAATAAAAAACAAACAAACTAATTTTAACTATCAACTTCTCATTTATATAATTAATGAGGAGAAAAAAAAGAGTCATTGAGGATGATATTCAGAGGGAAAACAGTTTCACACAATCTAAATAAAAATTAATGGACGAAGATGAGCTGGAAGCTTTTCAAGCAAGTGGATAAGCGAAACTTTTGTTAATGATCATGCACTAGTTACATAATAAATGAATTAAAAATAAAGATATTAAATAGTGCTTCTAAAAACACTAAACTAAATGTGTATATGCTATTGGGAATTGATGGAAAAAAAAGAGCAGGTTTGTTGGGGCTAAATGTCACTTTGGAATATGTCTGGTCAATGATTTAGTAATGTTCGAACTTAGATCAATGCTATAGCTTTGACTGGTTTTAACAATTATAATAATGGATATAAACATTTTTCTAATCTAATTGTGGAAGAAATTAAATAATTTAAGTAGAAATAATAGTACTGTTATTTCTAAACCAGACAAAAGTAAATCTGCTGCAATAAAAAAGCAGAAGAAACAGTAATTAAATTTGTGAAAGATACTACTGATTAAAGGGAAGCTAAATTTCATGAGTTTTTATTGAAATTAAAGAAAGAAAATACTCTTAGTGAACAACAGTATTGGAATGTTAGACCACCAGAAAGTCATCCTGATGAATTTAATGATTCATAAAGAACAATGTCCCTTACCGAACATTGAAACTTACAACCACGCTTTGAATAGATTTCTCTTAAAACTCTGTGCACTGTGCCAGTTTTGACATCGAATCACTATACACAAATTTACCGTCAGAAGAGGCAATACATTAAGTGCTGATTTGGTTTATAATGACAACTCCAATCAAATGTTCATCCCAAATCTTTTTAAGACTTATGAACTTTGCTACTACAGAGTCTCAGTTTTTTGTTGAATCGACAGCTTTATGATCAGGCCGACGGTAGTGCTATTCGATCGAGACTTACGCCGTCTTTAGCCAACTTATTTTTATGTTTTCATTAAAAACAATGGTTTGAAAATTTCCTGAAACATTTTACTCCTTTTTACTATCGTAGGTACGTTTAGGATACCTTTTCCATCTTTAAGTACTCTGATCAATTTATTCAATATCTAAACAGCATAGAGTTTACTGTGGAACATCAGCAGGTTTACAAACTTCCTTAATTAGTTATAATAATGGATACTTTGAATGTGAAATTTACCACAAAAAACATTCGCAGGTTTATATTTTAATTTTGAAAGATTTATTCCAAATGTTTTAAAGAAAATTTAGTTAAAATATTATTTCACTATGGGTATAAATCACCTGATACATGCATAGTAATGCATATAGTACTTATTAACATCAAGGATTTTTTTTAATGCAAAAATATGTTTCCATATTTTATGATTAACAGAATACTTCTCACTTATTTAAATAAGCGAAGTTTTTATACAGTAACTCCAACAGCTGTTCTAAATACCCTCTCGTTATCAGTTTACCATTTATGCGTAAATATTATTTAATTATTAAAAATCAGTTAATTAAAACAGATTATCCGAAGGGTATACCCACAGATGCAATTTAGCTTTGTGTTTAAATCTAATAGTCGCATACGATTTCCTTTAAATTTAAAGACCAAATTACAGTTATCGTTAGTAGTTTATCAATTGAATTGTCTTCACTGTCAGCAAGGCTATATTGGTTCTACAAAAAAAAAGAAACTAGAAACACGAATTGAAGAACACGCCATCTTCATATCAACCACAAAGTCAAGTACATTACAACATACCCTAGTAGAATATGACATTCTAAGTTGCTTAAGATCCTTATAAGGGTCAATGTTGAACAAAACCTCCGTATATAAGAGTCTTTTGATTCATAAGCTTAGGCCTGAAATCAACATGGTTATTTTTGCAATAAATCTATTGTTAAGACTTTGAGATATAAAACCAGTTTTCCTACTTTTTAATAATGGCATTGTACTTATCCATGAGATAAGGCTTCTTCAGAAATCAATGTCAATTTTGTCCCATTTCTTGTGTACATATTTGTATGAACTGCCAAAACTTTGCCTCAACAGTATCTCAGTTTATCCTTGGAGAGCAATTTTTATTATCAGTTTATCCTTGAACAGAACTTTCCAGCATTTCAGTTTATCCTTGAACAGTAATCTATATTAGCAGTTTATCCTTAGACAGAACTATGGAGTATCTCAGTTTATCATTGCTTGCAATCTATATTATCATTTAACCTTTGGGCAGAACTCAACAGTATCTCAGTTTATCCTTGGACAGCAATTTTTATTATCAGTTTATCATTGAACTGAACTTCAAAGCACCTTAGTTCATTTTTAGACAGAGCTCTTCTGTATCTGAATTTATCTTTGGATAGACTCTGTAGTATCTCAGTTTATACTTGAATAGCAACGTATATTATCAGTTTTGTTTTTGTACAGAACTCTGCAGTATCTCAGTTTGTCCTTGGAAAGCAATCTATATTATCAGTTTATCCTTGGAAACAACTCTTTAGTATCTCAGTTTATCCTTGACTTGCAATATATATTATCACTATATCTTTGGATAGAATTTCACAGCATCTCAGTTTATCCTTGGACAAAACTCTGCAATATCTAAACTTATCTTTGGACTGATCTTTGCAGTATCTCAGTTTGTTTTTGGACAGAACTCAACAGTATTTCAGTTTATTATTGGACAGCAATGTATATTATCAATTTATCTTTGAACAGAACTATTCAATATCTCAGTGTATTATTGGATAGCAAAATGTATTATCACTTTATCTTTGAACAGAACTATTCAATATATCAGCTTATTCTTGGAAAGCAATATCTGTTATCACTTTATCTTTGGATAGAACTTCACGGCATCTCAGTTTATACTTGGATAGAACTCTGCAATATCTAAGTTTATCTTTGGACTGATCTTTGCAGTATCCCAGTTTGACCTTGGAGAGAACTCAACAGTATTTCAGTTTATTATTGGACAGCAATGTATATTATCAATGTATCTTTGAACACAACTATGCAATATCCCAGTTTATCCTTGGACAGCAATCTATATCATCAGGTTTTCTTTGGACAGAACTCAACACTCTTTAAGTTTATTCTTTGAAATAACTCCACAGTATCTCAGTATATCCTTCCACAAAACTCCGCAGTTTCTCAGTTTATTCTTGGCTATCAATCTATATTATCAGTTTATCTTTAGAAAGAACACTGCAGTAACTCAATTTATCTTTGTACAGCAATCTGTATCATCAGTTTATCCTTGGACAGAACTCAACAGTATCTCAGTGTATCCTTCTGCAGAACTCTACAGTGTCCCAGTCTACCTTTAGACAAAACTTCAAAGTATCTCAGTTTACCCTTGAACAGCAATCAGTGTTATCAGTTTATTCTTTTGACAGAACTCTACAATATATCACTTTATCCTTTGGACAACAATCTATATTATCTGTTTATCCTTCGTCAGAACTCAACCATATCTCAAATTATCTTTGGACAAAACTCCACAATACCTTAGTTTATCCTGGGATAAAACTCTGTAGTATCTCAATTTATCTTTGGATAGCAATCTGTATTATTAGTTTATCTCAACAGATCTCGGTTTATCTTTAGAGAAAACCCTTCAGTATCTCAGTTTATGTTTGTACAGA